TCGTATCAGTTATCCTGATGTTTCAAATTCTCTGTCAAGTTGGGTCACAAGCCTCCTCTCATGCACAGACCATGCTTTAATTCCTTAACCTCCTTACACTCACTTGACCAGGTTGTACAAATGCAATCAGTAAATCGTGCTGTGATACGTTCTTACAGCTGGCAATAGTCCATCTGGGCCCTGGTTCCTCCCTAGCCAGTGAGATGACCCATTAAACTTGATGAAGACATTCACACACATCTGTTTCAGCGCCTTACTTCTTTTAAATTATGTGCCTCAGTCTTTGCATGTTGCTCATCTGATTCTGTCTTACTGAGCAAAGTTATGAATACTAAGAGTATTACCTTCCCCACTCTGAATCCTTTACATACTTGCATGCAGCTTATTTTGTCATCTGATGTCACTTATTTCCGTATCTTTGCAACAGGCAAAGCGAACAATGCAACTCTTCATTCATCTGTTCACAGCCTCAGTTTTCCTCTGATCCTGCACATCAGCCTTCCTTCCTCCTCTCTCCCTGCCATTCTCTTGCAGAGCTGTTCCACCAGCTCTTCTGCTCCAACATCCTTTCTCCTGTGAACACAACACAAGACGGAGAAACGCACATACCATCAGTGTTTAACCTGTTACTACTGTCTGTGCCTAGATTTCACAGCTTACCTTGGAGAAATACAAGCCACCTGGAAAGCTCCAGGAAGTCTTTCCAATGCAGAGAGTGGTCTGCAGAGGTCTGCCTGTGCTGAGGCTGCCCCGACGAGCAGAAGTGCAGAAGATTTGCAGAACTGGCTCCAGATAGTACTCCCCTCCCTTCCTTTCCAGGTGGCTTCTCCTGAAGAAAGCAGCCTGGTAAAAGACTCTGAAAAGGTCCAAGCAATGTAATGTGGTTAAGGGATCTATGAGCAGGGCAGAATGCCCCTAGTGCCCAGCTGTTTTGAGCAGATAAGTAAGCCCCTCCTGCATTATACAGCAGTGTTCTAGTGATGTATTGAATAAAAAAAAGGAAAAACAGCTGGAAGAGAACCTCTCTCTATGACCCTTGCTCTGCTGGGGAGGCTTGGGCAGGCTGCATACAGCATGGGTCAAAGCAAGGCAGTTTGGCCCACTCCTTCAAGTTGCATGAATAATTAGTAGAATTTGCTAGAGAGAAAATTGTGTGGGGCTAGCTGGAATAAGACAGAACAACATACAGTACCAAGCACTTCCTTAATAAAAGCTTTCACCAAATGAACTCTTCAGACTCCCAGAAGACACCTTCAAGTATCCGTATCTTACTAGGCATTGGCATTTCAACATTTATTACCACAGTCAAGCTACTATATTGCAAGCATGATTCAATGCCTGCATCTTCTGGCTCCAGAAGAAAGGAACTGTTCTAATTTTTATTTATAAGCTGGGCAAGTGGAGAGAGAGGCATTCAGTTACAGGCAAAGCACACACTGCTCTACAAGGCCGGGTAGGCTGGTTAGTACATGGACATATTCGTGCCTTAGCGTCCTGAGTCACAAGTACCACAACCCATCTCTGCAACTTTTCATGTAAGACCTCAGAAAAGGGCTTTGTAAATCATGTTTGTTGCCTTGCAGTACAAAGACCAGGACCTCCACATTCACTGCAGACTTCCAGCTCCATATATAGAGTGTGTTACGACCTGATTTCTGGCAAGAAGCACTTGTGAATGTGTACGCAATATAAAACAGGAAGAAGGATTTTGGTTTATCTGTGCTCATTTGGGCTTGTTTGTTGCTTGGGAAAAAAAAAACCAAAACTGGTAGGCTTCCCACCACTATGCAATAGTCTAGGAAGGCTCCTGTCACCTGGGGACTCACATGCTGATGTGTGAGTGAAAAGAGCAATAGCCAGAATTCATGGGGTTTTCAGGATGATCCTAATAAACTCTGTCATGCTACTAGTGTTAAGATGGGAGCACAGAACAGAAACTGTCTAAAGAACTACTGACAGCTTCTTTCCAAAAGCTAAAAAATGTCATTTTCATGAGTTATTCCTTTACGCCAAAGCATAGAATGGATTTCCAAAGGTTTGTATCTGGTTTTATGCAGTATTTACCAGCCTCTTAAATTTATTCTGTACTCAAATCCAGGTTCCTTGATAAAAGAAGATAATATTAGCTTATATGAAATACCACATCATCTTACATCCTACACAAAGCTTTAGCCTGAAGATTTCCGGACAGACACAGTTCATCCAAAGCAATTGAAGGTAGTTAGGAGGTCATGGGATCAAGTCACATATGCATTTCCTTTCTTCTCTACCATCCCTCCAGTTAAGCTTGTGCTCCTGAATTGCTCTTTTGCAATAGGGTAAACAAGTAAATGTTTTGGACTTAGGAGATACCTGTTTCCTATAGAAGCAAGCTTATTTTTCCTTTCTCAGTTTGTCTTTAGAAACCTGGCGTCCCCTAGGAACGAAAAATAGCAGAACATTTCAGAACTGTAGTTTTTGAGAAACAACAGCATTTGTCATTCATATAGAAAATTTCCAGCTACCACTGTCTCCTGATGAAAGCAGAACAAGCACTGCCATCCCTTTTTCACAGCTGACAAAACAGATATGGAGTAAGTGATTGCCAAGCATAATTTACTAAGTTAGCACAAGTAGTAATACAGCCCTGGTGCTTCAACTTGTGGGCCATGCTTGTCCCATTTGAATTACTAGGTTTTGTGAGTTCCTAGAACTCGTTCATCTCTTTCTACAATAATAATCAGTAGATTTTGAGTCTCTAAAAATGAATATAGACTTACTGCAAAAGTTGAATAAAATCAGAACTTTTCATTAATACCTTTGCCATTGGCAATGGAAAGAGAAGACAGAGGGTATAGACAGACACCAGCAGCTAAACTTTTATTGCACTCTCTGCTTCTGAAGTCCATTCAAGAGTAGGACAGTGGGACAAAAATAATTATAGGGGTCTTTCTACACAAAAGAGCCAGCTATTTAGAGGGAGGCAAAGTCATTTGAATGTCAATGAAATAACCATTAAAAGGCTGAGAAGCATTGCCATTTATTAAAAGATCTAAAGAATAGTTGCATGCACTATAGCAATCTTCTAGGTTGGAGTTGTTAATTTGGTATAAAAACCTATTAGGGACAGGGCAGAGCATAATTAAACAGGAGACAATACACACTGTGAAAAGGAAACTGGATCCGGAATTTTACAGCCTCTTATTTCATGTTTCTACATGAAATACTATGCTGTATAATCTCTCCTCAATAATAGCTATGTATTTCTAGCTCCCACGGTGTTTTGCGTTTCGTTTCTAGTAGTGGTCCCCTACAGCCCAGGGAGGAAGGTAAAACAAGGTTACGCACTTGAATGCCCTCCTACTCTTTCCAGCCTCACGGCAATCTTTCTTCCGAGAAAGCCTCTCATCAATGCCACTCCTTAATTGGCCCGAGAGCCCCTCTTTAAACAAAGCTCTCGACTCCCACAGGGCCAAGATCTTTCTGCTATTCTGGCAGAGCTAAATCTGGACAAGGATACGCCATTTACCAACACAAGCATACCATAAATTCAAATGCACAGGAAAGAAGTGAGGTACTTCCAGAAGTTTTTGATGTTCTGTAGGTAGAGATTTGCAGATAGGACAGACCGCGTCTGGAGAAAACCTTCTTTCTACGTGTAAGCCTGTCAGGTTGTTACCTCAAAAAAAAGCGTAAGACGCTAGTAATACCGCTCAGTAACAAATACAGGATCAGTCGGAGACCTTGGGTAGATTCTGCACTCATGCACTGAGCATGAGCTAAACCAGACTGTTAGGTACAAAACGTTGTTACAGACCTACAGGACAGATAAAGATTTCACGAGGTAGATGGGAAAGGACTCTGCATTTGTAAAGATGATCACTTTTTAATATCAATACAAATCAGTAAGAATATTCAGGTGCACTGCAGCTTTAACCTCTTCTTTAGCAGTAACCCTGGTCTTTTCACCATCTGCCCACACTGCCAGGTATGTAGAAGCGACACAAAAAATGTATCCTAAATTTTTGTTCCCTCAACTGTTATTCCAAGGCGCTGCCATTCTTTGTGTACTCAGCTAGTGTAGCTAAGTATCCCATAATATTTAAAAAAAAAAGTAAATACAAATGCCCACAGCAGGACTAATTAGCAATTGTTCAACATCTCCCGTGATACCCAGAGGCATCAAGTTCTCCACTGATAGACATCAAACAAACATGTCATTTAAAATACTTTGTTCTTTCTCCTTTATTTAGCCACAACACAAATACAAGAGCAGTCAAACCCTGTCCAGTGGGACTCACTAGATAAACCTGTTCAGATTAAGATTCTCATGAAATCAACCAAAATATACATGTACACGCACACTCTCAGGCACACAAGAATGCAGCAGAGCCCCTACAAGATGAGGAGTGGCACTGAACTGCACCTAAAAGTAAAACGCAATGGAAAAATCAACCGGTTACGATACATCTGTTAAGCAACAAGGTTGTGCACTGAATGGGTTCCCACTGTACCATTCCATTGGCTATTTAAGTCCCAGCATCATCCATTTCAGGTGTAAATTTGAAGCTCACAGAGGGAAA